TTTCTTCAACTACCAAAAAGTCTCTTGCCAGACTAAGCTACGTGACTTTTCAGCAATCATCCGCAGCATCTGCACCTACGCAATACCCATCTAGGGCACGTCCAGCAGCTTAAAGCGTCTTTAAGATCCCTTTATGAGGTTACTAAGAAAGGAAATTTTCATTATGTCTCCTGCTCCAGCTGCGCCAATATTTTTAGCAAAACTCCAGGAGTCAGTAAATTCACACACAAATCCTTTGATTTCTTCACTTGATGGCTACACACATAAATCTTACGACTGGGTAAAACGCCCCTGCAACTCACCCATCACGCCCCTCAGTGCCAATTAGCTGGTAAGGAAATCAAACTCTTATCATTTGAGTCACACCCTGCTCGAGTCTCGCACCTATCTTGCGTCAGCGCCAAACTAGTTCTACTCTATAAACTCTGTTTTGGCCCCAACTCTCCGCAGTCCAATTTCGTTTTTCTAATCTTTTTCTCCGCTTCTCTAACTTCCTTCTCTCTTTAGAAGTGTATAGCCAACCCAGCTGGTCCTCCATGTGGTGGTAGATTTTAGCCAGTAAGAATCTGGTACTTCCTTTCTATCTGGAAGGCACCTGTAGAAGGTTTCCTACACCACATAAAAAAAAGACGATTATCGTAGTCGTTTATCGATAGTTCACCAAGAACAGAGTTCTTAGTAGTGCAGCTGGGCATCCTGGCTACCAATGATACTCTTCTTTCGTGGGTTAAAGAATGAATCGGTTTTCATCCCGGATGGCTAAGATAAGCTAGTGTTACGAAAAAATAGGCGTTCGGAACGTCAACTTCTCCGGTGGAATAACAGGAGACGTGTCCAGCCAGAGAACAACGTTCTTAAAGACTTAGAGTTTTGTGGCTGTTCAACCATTCACCCTGGTGCCATCAGAGAATTTTTTACTACAAATGCAAGTTAGGGAAGATAGTCCTGAAGAGTACGGACAGCCACAACGGCTTCTTTATCAGTCGTCATCCCAACAGTATACCCACAGGGAATGTATTCTCCAGGCTACTTTTCTGACTAAGAATGAGCGGTTGATTATCCAGGAAACGACCTGAAGACGAGATATTCTTTGGTCAGCGATGCACCTTCCTCTTGTGCGGTCTCCGTACACGGAGACTCCAAGGATAAGAGTCAAGCTACCTGCAGCTGGCTCTCCAACATCACAAAAAATAATAAGGAGTAATTGTAAATTTTACCACTGGTCTTATTAGGACCAACATAATTATCTACGTTTTCTACTTAACCATCAATCTCATCGGTTTTTTTAAGAGCCGCTTAAGTTTAAACTGCCTTGCCAACAAATCCATTCTACTACCATTTCTGGAAACGTTATTCGCCGACCAAAAGACTATGTAAATCCGGCCACTATTGAACCAAGTCAGTTATTCACTGGCAGACGTCACGAGCAAAGTTGTTCGTTGCAAGGCTGGAAACCTCGATAACCGACGACCCTAAGCGATTAACCAGGAATAATCGATCCTCTCTAAGGTCTGCGCTGGGATAATCTAACAGCTATTAAGGAAAAATAAACTTGAGCGAACGAGATAGTCTCCAACGGGCAAGTATCACGAGCCAATCTCCTCATCTTTGATCTCCAAAACAACTGAGTCTGAAAAGAAAAGGTGCTTTAGACACCAACGTCTTTGACGTTATACCAGGAGACGTTGGGAAGGAGCTCTACATCTAGCTCTAAAGCCTTAGACGTTGTAGTTTTCCCCCAATAAGTGTGGTGCTGCAATAACAGGCCAGAGAAGATCACCCTGGGGTATAGAGGCAGTCACAATTGCTGTTAACTTTAGTCAAGAGAGAGTTTACTTAAGAAGCTCCATTGGACGTCAAACTACCTTCCCAACAAATATATTACAACATAATAAAGTTAAAAAAAATAACTTTTAGGGCTCACAAGAGTCTTAACTATGCCAAAAGTCGCAAGAAGTCAAAGTGGAAGGAAAGCTTCAAATGCATCTAATGAAAACAGTTTTAGGCGTCAAGAAAATGACGTTGAACGTGAGGTAACAGAAAATTTTTTTTCTAATTTTATTTTTTTTCTGAGTTTTAAATCTTTATAGCTTTAAAAAATAGACCTGTTCATAGACGATACAGGAAAAACTGCCAATTAACGGTTTTTTTGAGACAACGATTACTTTATGGCATAAGGAATGCACGGTACTTTTCAGCATAATTATATTTTTTCACTTTTTACAGCCTTTTACTTGATCGAATAAACTATATTGATTCCGAACAAACACGTTTTCAATAAGAAGATTTTTGATCTGAGAATTCTTAGAAATAAATGTATTTTTTAATGAAAAAAATGTCAGAAATTTTTGACTAAAAAAGTTTCACATTACATGTCAAGACACTACGGTGTTCCATGTAGTGAGTCTCGGACGAAGCTGAGACGGAGGGGCCGGTAGTTCTTACATATTTTTGATTTTTTGTGCTATGTTTGTGTTACCCTGCCATCTTTTATTAGTTTTTATCTGTCAGTTAATTATGGTATACGTCTCAATTTTTGTAGGTGCCCTTGATCATTGATTCGTTTTTTACTGATGTTGGTACCTTTCAGTCTTTTAAAGGTGGCTCTTTTATGACTCTTGAGTCGAAGGTGCGACTGTCATGTTGATATTTATTAATGTTGCTTTAATTTAAAACGATTGTTTGTTAATATTGTTTATTGAGGCAAATTCAGTACTAATTCAAAATTTTAGACCATTATATCCGGTATAAAAGTTCGTAGGAATGATTATCTAAAATTCGCGCTTAACCTAAAAATTTACTTATGCTTTCTACATAGAATGCCAAAATGTATGCCTGTGTTTTTTTTAATATCCTTTGATTAAGTCCGTGAACACATATATTTAAAGATAGTAGTATACTTGGAATTGTATAAGCTTTATTGTATCAGTTTTTTACTCATTTACGTTTAGTAAATAAACAACTAGGCTACAACTGTCAGTAAAAAAAACTCAGTTACCATAAAAGCACATGTTTAAACTTTAATATTCATATACCATTTTTTTGCGTTTATATTTGTGAGCCTGCTATAAAATTTTGAGGGGTAGTGTATTGTTACTCAATAAATGATTCCTCAAGATTTCATGCCATTCTATTCATAATGATTTCATGAAAGAACTACCTTAAATACATCTTTTTTTAAATAAATTGTTTAATAAATAGCTTATAATTATTTTTTTAAATATATCTATAAGCATTGAAGTATATTACTGGTTGTTATTATAATTAGTATTATTATTAGTACCATGATTGTCATCAATATAATTGTTAATAATAATTAGTTAAATTATTATTTCTGACAAGTAAAAAATAAGTAGCTTTTTTCTGAAAGCTACTTTTATTTTGACTGTAAATCTCATTATTTCATCTATTAAGAGTAAATCAAGTCCAAGGGCATGTTCGATTATTATCCTAGGGTTCGTACTATCCATACTGTTCGTTCGACGTATTCGTTCCAATTGTTTTTTTGTTCTGTTTCTTTTATTCTCTTTATATATTATATAATTGTCTCATCTAACAGAACATTATCTAGATGTATTTATTTACTAATTTTTTGTGATATTTTACGCCAAATCTATGCGTTCACGAATAAATATGTAATTTGTATTAAACGTGCTTACCAAACAGCTATTTTTTATTAGATTTTTAATCTTTGAACCAAACAAAGTTCTATGAACTAATCATGCGTTAAAATTAGGTTGTTTATCTGATTACAAATGACCTTTCGGATTGAATAGAACAAAAAAGAAACGTATGAAATAAACGAATAATACGAGTGTGCCCCAAATTCAGTGTAATTTTATTTTTTTCTCTGGGTGCATAGCACGCAACGCCTTCAGTACAGCTACAGCGTCGAAAAAATGAAACTTGGGTGTCAAAGTTTGCAGACAACAGCTGAAAGAGAAAACTTGCAGGTTAGAATAGTTTCGAGGTTTCTTGACAGGTATATGTATATACACACGTTGATGGAATTGTCTGCAAGCTTTGGCACCCAAGTTGCACTATGCTCACCATGGGCGCTTAGATCGTTTTGCCTATCCTCTCTAACCGTCTCCACCCAGCGAATACATATTTGTTCAGAAAACGACATATTCTATATGTTCGCAAGTTTCCTTTATTGCCTGTAATACACTTAAAAACCTTCAAAATTATTTTTATGATCATTGTTTGATTTTTAACTAACTCTATGGCTACATTTTTGACAGCTGTTTGAAAGTGTTTTAAGATAAAGTTACAAATTAGTATTTCATGACTGCTAGAGTGACCCTGTAATTTATAAAATTGTTTTTAATGGAATTCACAAGGTCCCTACTTTTGTCTATTTTTATCTGTTGTATGTGGATGCATGCAAAGTAGACATATATTTGTAAAGTCATACAAAAATAAGAACACACCCTTTAGTAATTACGATTAGTGACACCTATCCACAACATTATAATTACAAACATAAAAAAATATAGATAGAGACTGAAGACAAATAAAACAGTGTATAGATAAAAATGTAGTTTGATAGACAAATAGAATATAAATTGATAAACAGAAAGTGTAAAAACGGTTAATACTAAGATACAGATAAACAACTACCTAAACACATACAGAGACATATACAGACTTGAACTAAAGAATAAAGAACTGAAATAATAACCCGTACTCTTAAGCTATTTAAGTAGTTACAGAGCGTTTATTTTAATTTAATTTTTTAATTTTAGTCCTAATTGCATGTTAACAGTTAAATCTTACATAAATCCATGAGTTTTAATATTACATACCAAAATTATAAATTATAATTTCAATTTCAAGTATTTATAGAAATAACAAGGTGAGGATACATGCATACTAAAAAAAATAATTGAAAATAATAAATTTTCTAACGAGAATATACATTAAAAATTAGTCAGTTTTCAAGGGTTTTGCTTTTACATGGCACCCGCAGGGCGGTTAGTGTACGTATTTGTCCTTACCTGTACTTTTCTGATTCTGATGCAGCTGAACTTTGGATATTCACATTGACCTCTGCCTTAGCTGGGACACCACCATCTGATACTGTGACATATAATGTCATAGATTGTCCTCCCTGAAAACATCTGGTGTCATATATTGTCCTCCTTTAATTTTGACGGTGATTGGTCCACTAAATCATCTACTCATCTTTTTTTACTTATTGTAACAGTTACTAAATATCAAGCAGATTATGCAAATGATACTATTATTTGTCGTGGAAAATTGTAAAGCTAAAAAATTTGTTAACTGAAAGAACTCATAATTTTTTTAATAAATGAGTGATTGTGCCGCAACAGACTTATAAAACGTCCCCAACTCGTATTCTCGTACAGGAGTAAAATGTGTAAATGTCAAAGTCACTGTTTATGTGAAAAATTTTTGCTCTTTCTGCTCCAATAATACGAAACATCATTCAAAATTGTTTTAGGGGTCGAATTTACAAAAAAGGGGTCAAAATATCCTTTCCATCCACTGTCTCCATTAGACCTTCACAACTTGAGGATTGGAGTTACTATAAAATACCGTAATGGTGAGTTTCTAAACTATACTATATAAGTAAGCAATAAGCAGTGGCTAAAAGTTTCTGTACTTTTCATCTACCTCTATTTTGCATTGCGTAAGTATAACGTTTGAAGTTACACAATATGCATTTTCTTAATTAATATATTGGTACAGACAGTCACCCTGGTAGAAACGTTACTACATAAACTGACTAGAAAGTCGTCAAAATTTTATAAGCCCATTGACGCATGTATGTTGACGAGTTTCTAGCCAGTTTATGTAGTAATTTTCTATTACGGCATATGCGCAAAAAAATCAACATCGTGCTTCCAAACTGTAAGAGCTTTGTAAAGCTTGAATCGTCTTTTTTGTCCATGTACCTTGTATCCACCTCAATAGTAAAAATATCTTTTTTACACTTTGGGGCGACCAAGTACCACCAAATTTCTTTTTCATTACTATTGGACCAAAAATTCCAACACATATTTCAGCATTTGTACCAAAAAGTTTTTTTTTCGAAATACATCAATTAATGGAAGTACTATTTTTAACGTTAGTAGCGGAGTGGTAAGCTTTTAGTTGCTTCTAACTTGCTTTCAATGGAAACTAGGATCCGGCCCTATCAAAGAAAAGTGTTGTATCATTTGGTACTGCCAAATTAAATTAATAGTGGATTGAAGAGAAATAACAAATTTTCAGCAAATATCCACATCTCATTTTCAGCGATTTTGATTGCTTTTATTCTAGCTCTTGTAACTTTAGATTAGTATCACTCGACTGAACAAATTTTTTTCCATTTATAAAGCTTGATTTTATTTTTCGTATTAGGCCAGAAAAGAACACTCCGTGTACACAATTAACTCACTTACTAATATAAGAACTAGACGTTTTATGAAAAAAAATTTATTAAAGCCATATTTGAGAAAATTACTTTTTTTATTAAACTAGGGGGCTTCTCCCCTTGTGTGCTCTGCGTATCAATCCTGAACTTATAGTTTATGTATAATTCTAACAATCATTTAATTCAAATAGAGTTATTAGGTTTCAGTTTATTGATTTGACAAACAGATAATTTCAATTTTTATTCAACATGCAAAGTACAATGTTTCAAAATCCAACATTTGAGACAAATTCTCCCGCTTAAAATCAGCCTAAGCCTACGAACTAACAAACTTTCTCTTAAGCCATTGTTAAAGTCATTTTGAGTTAGTTACGGCGAAATCACACACATATATTTTGTTCCTTTCAAGTCAAAATATTTTACAGTTATATTATAAGCAATACCGAAATCTGTACTGATTTTCGTATATACAATTAATGTAATAAGTTGATAATCTCATTAAAAATTCAAATAAATCCAAAAGATTGTAAACAAATTTTCTTACCCTTCCTTTGAGTGACTCGTTAAGGTATATGTCTCCGGTGGTATTATCAATAAGAAAAGGCAGTGGTGGCCAAGATCGTGCGTGACCTTTGAAGTTGCTGGGTTCGAGGCTATAGGTAAGTTGATTAAGGTCATAACTCTTGGCTGTTACATGTTCGATTAGCTTGCCAACTGGATCGTCCTCGTGTAAGATCCAGCTTCGGGTCAGGTGGATCTCTGGTGGCGTCTTGACATCGAACTCGCAGTCTGATGAAGAGAAAAATTGTAAATGTAGTATCAACTGAGCCCATGAATTTTTTCTTGTAAAAAATTTTGAGAAGTTAGTACAAAAAATTGTCATTTGAAATTTAAGTGTAGTTGAAATGAAATAATGGATTTTCAGAAATTAAATTCGTGGCTAAATGGTACATCATCTCACTAGGACTTAAAGTACAGACATGAACGCCCGAAGGTTGTGGTTGTTATATGTTCGTGCCCTGCTTGCCTATATTGCTTTTCTTACCGAGGGCGCAAAGGTACGTGGGACTAAAGTAATTGCAAGAGTGCAAAGTGTAGCCCAAGAGCGAAAAGCGGCAGTTGCGCTTTATGCCCATGGTACTCGCTCACTAGGTGCGTAATATACTATTTTCCGACCTCGGGCGTTTTCAAGGGTCAGGTGTGCCCTCGGTAGGAAAAATAGAATTCGCCACATAATCGCCATCGCTCTACGGCTACCTTAGGTCCCTCGGGCCCCAAAATAGCCCCAGAGACTATGGCGATTATCCGACGAAAACTACTATTTCACCGCACTGTGTCGAAAGTAGGAACTTTCAACCCGCTTTGCAGAACGAAAGTTTCTACTTTCGGCACAGTATGGTGAAATAGTATAGGATTTGTCACATAAGGGCCATCGCACTGCAGCTACCTTATGTCCCTTAGGCCGCAAAATAGCTCCAGAGACGATGGTACTCACCCGACGAAAACTACCAAAATTTCAATAAAATTTCCCAAACAAATATTTTTACGTAAAAGTAAAGTAAATTCAACTATTTTTGGTGAAACTAGCGTAAAATTTTATATCAAAAACAATAAAATGTTTGTTATTTTGTGTTATGTTCACGTATCTATTGGGCATGCAGGAAAAAAATCAAATGTTGCAAGAATTGGGGAAATATTATAAAAATGCAACGCAAGAAGCAATACTATTATTTTTGTATTTGTGTATTTCTTGTCAAAATAAAAAAAACTATTAAAAAAGATTCAGGTGTAAAGCCAATAATTTCTTTGAAAATGAATTTTCGAGGACAAGTGGATCTAAAACCGTAATAATTAGTCTTCAAGTGAGAATGAAAAATAGTTGCTTTGTGTACTTAAATATATGAACTAACATTCAACTATAGCTTTCCATTGATTACTTCTAAAAAAGTAATTATATATTAGTTGTTAGTTTAAAAAAATTGCATTAAGGATTTCAATTTGAATATGTATTGATGACTATTTGGATTATCGAATGGATTCAACTAACTTGAACTTTGTTACAAGGGCATATACCAACTGGACTATACCAAATGCAAATATGCATTCCCCATATTTTTTCATGAAGTGTCTCTTATAAGCATGAGTATTTGGATGTTGTATATTTTTTAAATTAATATTTCAATTTCAGAGAAAATAAAAAATTATCACGTAAAATTAGGAAAAAATTTCTAATAGTTACTGCAATTAACAATTACATTTAGTTAATTATTGGTAACAGTTTTAATTAGTATTAAAATAAAATAGTTGACAAAAAATAACTGTAAGTGAAGACAAGGATTTTCCATAAAAAACATTTTTTGTGTTCAAAGATGTTATTAAAAATATTGAAACAGTACTTTTTTCTACTTTTTTTAACATTTGAACGTTTACTGAGCAGTAAAATAATAGAGTTTGTACCTCATGCGCATCCAACCAAGGCAAGCACAAGGAATTCCTCGTGGCGCTTGGTGCTTGAGCTGGAGACATGCGCCAGTGGGTAGGTATTGAAAAAACTACTATTTCTTTTTTTGTGGAAGCATAAAATAATAGAGATAGTAAAAATAATCATCCTGGGTTATGACATAATTATGTCAGCAAACTAGAAAATTTATATATGATTTCATAACTTTGGAACATTAGCGATTGAGCAAAAATAAAAGGTTTGACATTATTTAATTTTTAATTATTACGAAAACCAGATCTCTCATAGACTACATGTAATCATTGTATCAAATATGTTAGAGTGGAATACAAAATTATACGATGTGATAAAATTAATAAATAGTAATTGAGTATTAAGTGTTTCGTTTCGAAGTAGTTTCAGTCCTTACCTAGCTTAATTTCTTTATATACAACTAATTTATGGTATGATATTACGAGGCTAGTATAATATGGTACTTATGCTGGGCCGAAAATGAAAAAAAAACTTGGCTTGCATTTATTTTAATTGCTCTATTTCATGAGACCAAAGTTTTGTTTTAAGCATTATATATTGCTGATTTTACGAGATTTCAAACGGAAGTAAAAAAATAATAATTTTAACTCATTACACTAGCCAAATGTTTAATTTTTAAAGGTTATTCTTATGAGTTAACGATGAAATTTATTTTTGTTAGTATTCCATAGTGTAACTTTTTTTCAATGACAATTAAATCTTATGCATTAGAATGGAAGATTCGAATTAAAAAATAATAATACTTGTATTATATGATTATACGTGCACTTCGTACAGTTAAACTATCAAAGTTGAACACGATTTTAAGATTCATTATGAAAATCTGTACCTATATAAGATAAAAAAAATTGCTGCACTAACCATAAGTAACGGTACGGTGGCATTGATACAAGCAATCATATGATTATCGGATAGGAGAAAGTAGGGCAATGAAAGTGCGATGAAACATATACTTAAGTATTCAAACATATTCGCTCTTAGAATTCCTCCCTGTATCTGCCTGCAAATTTCAAGCTTTGTCTCTTTACTTTATGTATCAATTACCAATCTGCTTTCATGTTATCTTTATACGTATTTTAGAAATCTACCAAGATATATACATCTATAGTCGTATGTAACCTAAAACATTTTTGCTTGAGCGAGTAAGAGAGCAATACTTAATTTATAAGGAGGTACGCGCGAGATTACAGTTATGCACTATTGTTCGTACAATAGCATTTTACAGTTATTTCATTTGCTGTTGGATTCTTGCTAGTATGAATCATTCAATCATACCAAACGACAATATTAAGATTGTAAAGTAAATTCATGCAAAAACGATGCAATTTGTGAATGTACGTATACTGTTCCTATTACTTTGATTTTTTTATTAGCTAGTTAATATTTTTAAGAAAAATATAAAGGTTGTAAGCGGCGTCTCAACACAATGAGAATTACGTGGTCATTGTGAGGCTAAGCGAGCACGGCGATCGTAAGGTGAAGGAGGTTTTGGTATCGTCCGAGGCCGCAAAGTGGAGTTACGGGGCGGGAAAGATACAAATTCTTTCCTGCGGACGGAAAGCTACCGAGACGCTCGCAATCGCATGTATGTTTATATATATACTTAAATTGATATTGTATACGAAGAAAAAGAAAGACGTTGTCATAGCGAAATCTTGTTTTTTGTTTGTTATTTTTTCTGGTTGACTTTATGCAAAAAAATAAAGCAGTTTAACTCCAAAAGTCCATCAAGTCAGTCGTTTTCTTTACTTGCGCGTTTGTTCAAAAACATTTTTGGTGCCAAAACCCCCTATCAATAATATAAAAAAAAAAAGCGCGAAGTTAAAAAAAGAAGAAACTGCTGGCAAACATGAAAAGAAGACAGAGGAATTATGGTCCGTCAACGCAAGCAAAACGACGCCGAGATGCTCCCCTGGCTCCTGTCAACGCGGCGGCTGCGCGATCTCGCGCCCCCCACCATCCTCCTGCCGGCTCAGCTCCAGCTAACCCCAACGGTGACCAACCCCTGGCTCCTATCAACGCGGTGGCTGCGCGATCTCGTGCCCCCGCCGTCCTCCTGCTGGCCCAGCTACAGCTAACCCCAACGCTTCTGTTAACGTGGCGGCTGCGCGATCTCGTGCCCCCCGCCGTCCTCCTGCCGGCCTAGCTCCAGCTAACCTCAACGGTTACCAGCCCCTGGCTCCTGTCAACGCGGCGGCTGTGCGATCTAACGCCCCGAGTCGCATTCCGGTGCTATTTCCAAGCAGCATAATACCAGTATCATCCCACGTACAATATCGTCCTTTGACCGAGCCAACCCTTGATACCAGTGAGGGTATCTCCGATAACGAGCTACTGCCGATGCCGAACGCGAATCGAGCAACGATGCGGTTTTTTGCCCAAGACCGCCCTCCTACAAGCCCAGTCCTCAATGATAGTGAAGATAACCTTGACGATGAGTTTCTGCGACCGCCAGGCGTACAATCATCAGCGCTATTCCGCGCCCTTTCCATGCGGGATCTAGGTCAAAGTACATTTGCATTGAACTTCGGATCATCATCTAACGCCTTTGATCATAGTCAACGCAACGGTCTGGGAATGAACCATAGTTGTACTCCAACATCAAGGGTAGAATTGCATGATGATTCTGAAGACGAAACGTCAGCTAATAACCCGTTTGTACAAGCGATATCAAATCAAAATGAGTACGGTAAATCGAGTCGAAATGTAACTACTTATGAAAATGAACTTAATGCGTTTGCGGAAAATCATATAAACGAAAATTATGGAATGGGAAATCGAAATCAATTTTTTCACAGTACAGGCAGGTTAAATAATCAAACCCAATTAAGCGAAGTATCCACGTCACGTTTTTTTGACATGATGCAAGACACTTTGTCAGTCATAAAAGATACCGCTCGAACTTCGTCTAATTCTACCTTAAATAATAGAATTAAACTAATAAAAAAGTTGCCTACTTTTAGTGGAAATCCACTTGATTGGGTAGGTTTCAAAGAAGCCTATGATTATTCTACAACTATGGGTAAATATACCGATCGAGAAAATGTGTATAGTCTACATGATTGTTTGAAAGGCGATGCTCTCAGTGCAGCAAGGACTTTATTTGCCAGAGGTAACAACGCTTCTTACATAATAAAAACGCTAGAAATGAGATTTGGCGATCCGAGAATAATTTTAGCTAAAATCGTAAATGAAATCAAAAATTTGCCACGAATTGAACCGAATAAAATAAGTTTTATTGAATTCGTGACAACCTTTCAAAATGCAATAAATGCAATAAAAGCTCTTGATTATT